CCCGCGGATGTTGTGTTCGGTTGGCGGACGATGGGAGGGCCGGTCTGGAACTCAACTGATTTTTTAACCGCCCGCACCTCTTGCGATAATCAACCGCTAAGTTTGCGGGCGATAAACGCAACCGCGGCGGCTAAGGGATCGCAGAACATTGCGGTCTCGTGACTTTGAAAATTCCGTCTACATTATGCCACCGTGGCGAGCGCGGGAGAAGATCGCCCCGTTAATTCTTAGCCTAAATGTTGCTCGACTCTTTTCAAATAAGAGAAATTCGATTATACAAGACTTAAAACTTTCAGAAAATATTGAAATAGACAAACTTTTTTGTTTGAGAAGTTGACCGTGACTGATACTGGATTTTTTCTACATAATACATAATATTATTCACTATTTGATACGTGAAACACAAAATAGAAATAAAAGATTCCACGACTACCTAACCCAAAGGTCTTTTCATCAGATTCCATTCAGACGTCTTAAATCAAAGCCCCGAGTCTCTCCGAGGATTCCCGAAGCTTTCCGAAGTCGAACTAAGCTACACTTAGTTAGTTTTTAATTAAGATTGAGAGTAATCTACGCTACCGAATGTCCAGTGTACCAGTAAAAGACATCGAGACACTAAGGTAAAGTTGTCTTGAAGAAAAAAATAAAAGAAAACACTCTCATTTTCTATTGAAAAAGGTGGCTTTATTTTCACAAATACAAAATATTTTGATTTACTTTATTAGTTTCAAAGATTTCTGGCTCTTTTGTATCATTTATTAAAAGGCGCCTTATTATTTATATTATGAAATGGGGGCAAACCTAATGACATAGGTAAGGTTAGACTTTTGCAAGCCCAATCTTGGTGGAGTCGTGGTGGCCCAGAGGTTTAAGACACTCCCGCTTATCATGCATGAGAATGCGGATTTGGAACCTAACAACGGCAAGTACCAATGTGACTTTTTCCGAGTTATATGTAGTTTCTAATATTATTGAGACACCATTCACAAACGGTGAAGGAAAACGTCGTGAGGAAACCTGGATTTATAATTTCTAATGTTTGAAATCGCCAACCCGAATTGTGCAATTTATAGTGATTAATGATCAAACCTTTTCCATGCGAGAAGAGAGCTTGATCAGCAGTGGCTGCTTAAAAGCTGTTGATGTGATGATATGGAGCCAAATCTTTATAAACTATGTACATAGGTGCAATAGATAAAGACATTTTCAAAAACAAACCACTATCTCTAATAGATACAAACTCAAAACATTCGAGTACAGGAACAAACAGTATATAATTAATACCTTCATTTAGTAGTAGCGACAATTCTGCCGGTGACAGGACATGCGTCATAATTCTTAGTTTGTTTGTTTGTCTGTGCTGTTAAATATACGAGTTCTTGCACTCGGGTTTGCGCATAAATCAACGCTGCCTAGCGGCTTATTAATTTTATGATGATGTGTTGCTGGATGTGGCAAGCTTTGTTAGTTTTAATTTGTTTGGAAAGAGGAAATGTTGTATTTATTTTTGTGTATGAATTTTGAGTTATTTTATCCTTGGTTTGCATTGCCTTGTTCGTCCGGTGTAGTAGATTTTAGAAATTCTCTCTTAACTCAAACTCAAAAGCATTTATTTTAATTAGACCATAATTTGATACTTTTGAAACATCAAGAAATATAAAATAAACAATAATCTGTCAGTCTGTCCGTCAGAGAAACTGGGTAGCTAGGTACTAAGAACAGGGAGTCCTAATATTTCATTCAACCGTACACAGTGGGCTGTGTCAAGTCAGCGGTGATAGTCCTGTACTAAATTTTGGGCCTCTATTTATTACACAAAAAGGTTTGTCATAATCTTCATTCTTGGCTGATTGAAGATTGCAGATATAACAGAAAATGCAACTGCCTGATTTCTATGAAACCTAAAGGGTAAATTTCCCGATTTCTGTGTAAAGGTAGTCTAGTATTTTAGACTCACACGGGATTCGTTGATGGTGACGATGCTTTTCTAAAGATGATGATTCTGAAGTATTCTTCAGGTATTCCTGAAGATACCTATTTCAGTTTTATGATACTGTTCTAAATAAGACCTATCCAGAAACTCTAAAGCAATGTAAAGATAATAATATAAGATTGTATCTAAGGTGAGATTGTCGAGGCTTGCACTGTGACGAATATGCGAGATTTTGTGTACCTACACTTCGCAGCAATGTTGGAAACTTTTTGGAAATAAAACTGCTACTAGACGTGTATTAAGAATCTTGAAATAGACCTTACGAATACTATCAATGCGATCGTTTGTGTATTTGCATGTATGTTTATTACTCAATCACGTTAAAATGGTTGAATGGATCGGAATGGAATTTGGATTAGGGGTCGATTATCGTCTGGAACATGGGCTACTCTTTATACCATGGAAAGCCGAGCGAAGAAGATAGTATGAAATAATTTCATAGAGTACCAAATATGTATTTAAGCTCAAGCAAGCATAGAGCAAAACGGGCTAATTGTGACATTCTAATTCTAGCATCCGTGACGTTCTAATGACGATGACTAAAAGTTTGATAGAGATATTATAGACCCTCTCATTTCATCCATCCCATCCGTAGATTTGAGTCCCTCTAGCGCCTCAAAGAGCCATCAAACTACCATAGATCGAGCCCAATAGGACTGATGCCGCTGCGGAGCCGCGAGAAACGTAAAAGACTACCGGGGTTCCGGCTCGAAGTGCAATAGTAGAAACGGGTTTTTAGTCAGTATGAGTCTGACACTCCCGCATCACCCAGGCGGAAGAAATCATTCAATGATTCTCCCTCTACCAAAAATCGGCACCCACTGGAAGAATAGGTGCAGTAGTAGTCGTAGGCACTAATAATGCATTAGAAAAAAATAACATTATTAGTAAACATACAACTTCCACAATACGTCTCTAGATTTTAAACAGTGCCTTTCCAGTCAAGCCAATGTCTACCTTATCGATATTACAATTAACACCCTTTATCGTAGCTCCAACAAATTCATAATCCCACTTTCATAAGACTGTAGTCTAAAAACAATACTATAATCCGCACTCTAAAACTACTTCAGCAAATTAATCTCTTCTCTGCCAACTGTACAGGAGACAACTCTATTTGTACCCGCCTCGCGAAGACGTTTCGCGGTTATTATTAAAAACTTGTTTCTTGCAAAACGCTATGAATTGTGACTAAAATAGGAAGCCGGTGCTTTGAGTTCGTTTCTGTTTATTGTTTTGCTCTTGCTTTGTGTAAAATCTGTTTGATTGTTCGTTGTTATTAATGGTAGATATCCAGAAGTGCTCTTATTTTTGATACGGTGGAAATTAATAACATACCTCAATCAAAAATTTTTGACACTAATGTCGATCGATTTTTGCCTATCGTAGATAGTTAGATAAGTAATTAGATCGTAGGCCACAGATTTCGGCCGTTAATTGAAATTAGTTTGTAGACCTGATAAAAATGAAATCTATACATGTATACCTACAGATAAGTAAAACTGGAGTGTCAGTTTGTAGGTAGTCAATATTGAGTGACTTGGCCGTTGAAGGGTACGCCAGAAGCGGGACACCATTGCATTAATCTGTCGCTGAGCTACAGAACCACTGTTTATTCAATTAAACATTTTTCTTATGGCAATTTTCCATCTTTAATGGGTAGCGGTTCAATGGCCAATTCATACAATGTTAACTATAATAAAGAAATCGCAATAAGGAATCTTATACTCGGCACGACTTAGTCTAGATTTCATCTTTATCTATATCTATATAAATAATAATGAATTTCTGTTCGTTAGTCTCGCAAAAACTCGAGAACGGCTGAACTGATTTGGCTAATTTAGGTCTTGATAGGTTCGTGGAAGTCTAGGGAAAGTTTAAAAGGTGAGAAAAAACTTTTAGGCGATACGAAGTTTGCCGGGTCAGCTAGTTACTTTACATATAAAGATAAACGGCTGGCTCCATCGAGATTTGACTAGATTTTAAAATAATGGTTTTGGTTGGATATATATTAATTTAAGTTCCTCCGGATGTCGATTCTACCTTAGGTATAATTTTTGGATAAACTAATTCTAATTGGTCAATAGTTCTGACCACCAATTAACGAATTAGGCAGTAATTTTGACCTCCTTTCATTTATATATCATCTCTTCTAAAAACTCAAGCGACTGACTTAGAAAACATTACTTATATTGAATAAGATCTGCCTATGTGTTTCAGTGTGGGAGAGCCATGCTTCGGCACGAATGGGCCGGCTCGACCGGAGTGATACCACGACCTCACAGAAAACCGACGTGAAGCAACGCTTGCGTTGTGTTTCGTCGTGTGAGTGAGATTACCGGACGCCCGATTACCCTCCCCTTCCTCAATCTTCCCAATTCCAGAATCCCCAACGATTCTCAAACTCCTAATCCCCAAAAGGCCGGTAATGCACTTCTAACGCCTCTGGCGTTCCAGGTGTCTATGGGCGAGGCCGATTGCTTACCATCAGGTGATCCGTCTGATCGTTTACTGGCTTATGCCATAAAAAAAAATGTGTTTTCGCAGCTTAATAATGCCTCCAGGAACTATTACTTGGTGACAAAAGCCTTCCATTAAACGCAAGCCATAAAGATAAAATTTAAGAGGGTTTTAGAAAGAGAATATACCTCTAGTTTAGAAACCATTCAAGGTCTAACAAAAGGCGAATGGATGTAAACAAACGGATCGGTAAGACTTGTAGCTTATGAAAGTAGGTAACACATAATATAGCAATGCAATTCCAATTCCGAGTTTAATGGGTGCAGAGGTCGTATACCAAATCTTAACATTCTGTATTATAATAGCAATGTAAAAGTTGGCGAGCATATTTCCGTATTACATCACTCCATACTGCGTTATCTCATGTTATACTGGTCCGGGCCCGATCAAACCCGAGACCTCTTGCTTTATAAGGTAAGAAAGCGTAAGCAGATAACATTACATACAAATAAAACAAAGTTGTCTTAAAAATGTATTTATTTTTCATTTTATTGTGCTCTTCAATATTTATTAAACGGACACTTTGTCCCATGAATTAATTTAATTACATAATTGTTGCAACTCTCGATACTATACAAAATGAAACAATAAAATCGAATAAAATAAATAGTTATTACTTAAATTAAATAAACAGAATTATAAAACAAAAACAATTTCCAACTACGACGGCAGATACAATAATTTTCCATTTACAATCAAAACAAAATTCTTGGGTTTACGATAGGGAAAGAAATGTTAACGTAGAAATATAAAAGCAGACTAAATAAAAAGCTTAAAAAGCAACAGAGTCGAAATACTTTTAGAGTTGTAAAAACAAATCGACGGATAGGAATTCGATACATTAACTTTAGCACCAAATTACAAAATCAGATAGTAGAGTTAGTCCAAACAAAAAAAAACTGTGTGATAAATATATTTGAATGAGTAGTGGTACCTTTAATATGATATGATTATAAAATTCAACTTACTATTCTTAAATAATTCATTTAACTACAATTTTGTACATTATCTACAAATTCAGAAATTCATTTACATCATTATCCCTCCATTGTTTTTACACGTGATCAATCATTAACTTGATAAGGTTCACAATTATTGTGATAATTTAAGGACTAGTTCGAAACTTACTAGGACGAAACCGCTATAGCTACCTAAAAATATGGTCACATGAATTTTGTACAAAACCATCGCTATATCAGCTAATAAAAATAACGATTTCATCAAAATATCGTATCGCTAAAATCTACAGGGACAGACCTTCTACTAAGCAATAAATTTTTGTACAATCGTGTAGAAAAGTAGTCCCTAAGACGTTTAAGGTTCATAAATATTCGACAGTAACTAATATTCAACGATTAAGTTCACCGTCTCAGAAGGCATGAGAGAATTGAGGCCGCTGAATAAGTTAGGCCGTGAAAGACAAAGTAAAACTACTAAATGCAAAATTGATTACATTAACTTTGATTCTTCACCATTCACTTCGTCACTGGAACTGTTATGGCACCGTCACATCAGTAGCCGAGAACACGACATTTCCGTTCATGACATCGGTATTTCTGCAGACAATCGGTGTCTGGACGATGCCCTAGTACCACATGTCCCGCACGTATTATTACTATAACCAGAATCGGAGCCGAACGAGGAATCTCCACTCGGGGGCTTCGGCGATGCCCGCGGTCCTCGCCAACAGGCGATCCCAGGCAGTTCACCGCCAGGCCATGCTCCTCCAGCACTCATTGGTAACGGTCCTTGCGGCCTCGCACCAACCGTTCCAACTTGGGGATACAGTCTCAACAAAGCATCCAAAAGAACACCCTCGTGGAACTCCGTAGGATCAGGTGGTCCGGGTGGATGAATGTGACGCTGCATTCTATGCTGTGCTCGTCGTCTTTCCAAAGATTTAGGTCTCCTGTCCATTCGCTGTTGTCTAGGCCGATGAGGAAGCGATTGTGGAGCTGGTGGTCTGGAACAGGTTCGACATGGCGCTGCTTCTCCGACAAGGCTGAGCTCGTCTTCAGCGAAATGGTCGTCGCTGTGTAAGGAGTCGTCTGATCTATGGGGTAGCTCCTCGTATAGTGGAGCCCCGCATGTGTCACCACCACAGCTGTTGCCACCTCGCCAAGTACCGCCGGTACCGCACACAAACACTCGGCTCGGGCAGTTCGGTCGTTTTGTTTCAACCATCTGTAAATGAATTACATAATAAGTCAATCATATTTATTTATTAAGATATTTTTAACTACAACAATAGACAGATAATAGTTTAGACATAGCAAAAACTTTTCATGATTTATTTTTGCTAACTAAAACATTTAAATCAATTTAGGGCTGAGACTCATTAATTGAAATCCTGAAGTTGAAACATTAACACGATCACCAAAGTTAGCCAAAAACTAATATTTAGAGCAATCATAATTTCTTTGAAGACTAATCATAGAAATCTTTTCAAAGTTGATTTAACGTGAACCCTTTACCATCCAAATCTATTTGAAAGTCAATTATAAACATCACAAGTTGAATCTAGACTAAATAACAAGTAAGTATAGACTAAACGGGAAACTTTTGACATTTTAACTAGATCTCAAAACTTGGGGTAATTCTCCAAATTTTATATGTAACGTGTTATAAGTTTACTGGTAGCTTAAATATTCAGGCGAAATTAAATTTGGTGTTTGACAGATGTTATATGAAACTGCTACGTTCTAACGCGTGTTAGTCGACGCAAATTAATGCCGGCAGCCTCTGTTAATGTCGAAAATAGCTCGAATCTTCGACACTAAGAAACAGACAAGGATTGTAACAATTTCTTGTGGAGCAATTTCATTAAAATTTACTACACTGAACCTAAATAGTAACTTGAATGTAACTCTAAATAGTAATTTGAACTTAATAGCTTCTAAAACAAATGGTGCCGAAACAGCAATAGTTGCCCACAAGATAATTTAATGGAAAAACGATATTATTTATGAGTTTCTCGATGTTAGAAAAGGCCGTGAAAGAAATATATTCGTCACCTATCAACGTCCGGTCCGTGAGAAGGGTACACTTAAACAAATAATGAGTCCAATGAATATGGACAGGACAAATGGAGTCGGTAACGTTGAATGACAGAAACCATTTCATTACTTCTTCCACATAGATATGTCAGGTCATCTACTAGATTAACTTTGAAGGCCATTGGACCCTCGTCTCTCTTGCGTGTTTGTAAGGCATACAGTTTACGCTCTGAAGATTCTTAGTCCCGAGGTCTGTCAATATTAGGTTCCCAAAGAGTGGTACTCCCAAACCGTGCGTTGTTTTAGTAATGAGTCAATTTTCTAGATTCTTATTACGACTTCATTCAATTGCTTTTCTTTTTGAAGATTTATTTTCTGTAAATTGAAAATTTTTAAACCTAATGTAAATATTGAACCTAATGTAATATAAATTGAACCTAATGTGTGCCAGCCACTGAATTTAAAGTTACAATGATGTATTAGAATTACGAAAAGTTTTGATTATATCAAAACTATATTCTTTAGATTCAAATTGTTCTCCCAAATTAAAGAATTTACTCAAATCAATGTGAAGTCTACACAAAAATTGTTTTTCCACTAAACTATTTTTACTTTCCACTTCAATTATCTCCTGTCAGTTTCCAGCATCAAAATAAAAATAATTCGTCCTTCGTATCCAAACATCTCAGTAAAACAACTCAATATCTTCGCTGCTCTAGCCCGGCCCGAGATATTTTATTTATAAAATTGATCCCGCTGAAGTGATTGACTAGCAATCACTTATTTCTGAACACTATTTCTTAAATAAAGTTGTTCTATCGGCTAGCGTGGACCAAATAGATAAATTGGATGGATTTGAGTGACAAAATAAAAGTTTAGCGTTCAGTCTCAGTTTACCCAAATTGAATTTAAAATGTCGTAACGAAGTATTATAAAATTAGTCTTTGGTCATTTGAAAATGTATTGAAGGTAATTGTATTTTGGAGAAATTAAACTGTCATTCGCTGGAATCAAAACCTACATAGGAATCTAAATTTCAAAATTCACTTTCAAATATTCTGATATTTGTTTTTTCTTCATATACCAACTAATGCAGATTTGTCTTCTAATTATTCTTATTAGAGATCTGGTAAATTGGCCTAAAACCTTGGATTTTCATTTCTCTTTCACGCAACTTCTAGAATAATAATATCCATAAAAGTTTCCTTACCTCCAACTGTGGCTCTAGTTCAGGTCTGTGCGGTAAGGGTGGTCTTCTGGGAAGGTCTTGCAAGTCTTCGTATAAGGGAGCTGGTGGTGGAGCTCTGCGCTGGGAGCCGCTACTCTGTGTTGGTGCTGATGACTTCGATGGAAGCAAATTGGTGACTTTCCGTTTATGTCTGTGGGAGAAGAAAAGTATATGGTTATAAAATGTGAAAGTACTTTATTTAATTATCATTTTTATGTATTGCTTTGAGTGTCTTCTAGACTTTCAGTGTATTTCTGGTGAAGACGCAAAGGATTGCATTCATATTAAACCATGGACAGGTTGATTATTGAACACTATCTAACACAAACTTTTTGTTAATTATTATTAAATTGATTTGTAAAAAGTCAGACGTTTAAGTCTTCCTAGTTAGTACACCCGCTATTTATTATGTTTTTCTACCGTATCTTAGAATAACAAAATAATCAAGATTGAATAAACTACTAAACTTATACAGCCTATTTAATGGTCAAAAATATGATATTTCTCATATCAACGATCAGTGACATTTTCAACCGGATGAAGCCCGATGATACCAAGTGCCCAGTTACTTGAATGAGATTATCTATGGGTGATATAGCAACAACGTTATTGTACATGGGATTTTGATAGTGCTATAAAATATTCTTATTAATATAAGTCTAAAAATAACTACAGTCACTGTAAAATAATCGACCTTGTTTTCATTATTGAGTCTAATAATGTTTTACCCGACTTAGTGATCTTAGTGAAGATTATGTGGTAGTGACCAATGGATGACTATATAATATAGCTAGCTAGCTTCTATCGGCATCTTCGCCCGCGTTCCGATACGATAAAACGTAGCCTATGTGTTATTCCATAACATACTCCGATTTAACGTGAAAGACTTTCGCATTTATAATATTAGTAGGATATACATCTGCTATATATGTATTCACTAGTGCAATAAAAATACTATGTGATATTCGCTAACTGATTTACGGCGAATGAAGAAGTAATAATTATTTATAATTCACGCTTCAACCGTAATCATTACTTTATTATTTTTATTTTTATTGAGAGGAACAGTAACTGGTTACATTATAAAGTCTACTAACTACATAGTTCACACAAGATACAATTTGGGCAAAATGCAACCCACAACACTGTCCACAAGTTGCCATTAGGTAGAATGAAATAAATTACTCTGATACAATAATACATTTATATAAAACTAAATACATAGATACACCAGCATTTTCTATTTCGAAAACTATAAACCAATTTTATTAATAAAGTAATAAGATTCGAGTCATATTATTTAATTAGTCTTTTTGATCCCAAATTATTTGGAGTGATCCTATTGAGAGCACTTGTGAAGAATTGATTGGTTGTTAATAGCTAAAGTAATTGACGAATTGAAGCCAATTTCTGGCATTAATATTGTCATTATTAAATTGAGATTAGTTTTAGAACTAAATTATTTATTAACAATCTTTGAAACAGGTAATAATAAAGTAGAGTTTTTATTATACAACCACTTTTCGTAACAAAGGTACGTATTTGTAATAAAAAATCATAATTTCAGACTTATTCCATTGGTCTTTTGCGGTCAAAAGTTTAATCTTAGACTTAGTAAAGACTTTACAAGTAGACCTCCATGAAAAAACAGTTTTTTTTTTCAATCCGAAGATATAATCGGAATATCATCGAATAACTGCTCCCGCCTGGGTGAGGCGGGAAGGAGTGTCAGACTCTTACTGACTAAAAACTACCCCGTTCCTTCTCCTGCACGTCGAGCCGGAGCCCCGATAACCCGTTAGGTTCTCCGCGAAAAGGCCTATGGTTTAATATTAGCACTGGACTCTAGTGGTGAATATTATGATTTTTTTATACAACGACTATGGCAAAAAACAGCACACGGCTCGTGATGATAAGAGGTTACCGTGACCTATGTACGCTTCCAGCAAAGGCCTCAAGGGCATTACATGCGCCTTGCTGACCCTTGAAAAACCTACTCACACCCTTCTTGAAGAACGTAACCTTCCCTTCTTACGATGATGATACTGATGATGAACAGACGCCATTGTGTATTCCCAGACAGTTTTCTATAGATATTGTTATCAAGCGAATATTGAACAATACAAAGAATATATTCATCAAAATATTATCAAGAGTACATTAGTTCCAGTTCAGTTATATTCTACCTTTCAATTACTTATAAAGAAAACTTATTATAAACACATTAGATACGGCAACTTCACTTCCCAAAGCAGATGTTTTAATTTAATATTTTTCGAAATATTTCTTGATAGAGTGTTCTTTGAGAACTCAAATGGGTTCTGTTGATATTACTTTTATTTTATTTAATGTGTGGTCAATAAAGTATTAAAGTTCAATCCATCTTTGTTACGTGATTGAATGTAGAAGAATTGTAAAACATACTTTTTTAAAAAGAGTAACGAATGGCGTTTCTTGCTCGTTCTTCTCCATTCGTATCTACATTTTGGAATGAGCACCTAGTTTTACCTAGCTTCACTGACGGACAGACTGACAGACTATTATATATTTCATATTTTTTGACGTTTCAAAAGTACCAAATTATGGTTTAATTGAAATAAATGCTTTGACTTTGAAAATGGTTTGTTACGAACAAGTGAAAATGTACAAAATCTGTTAACCTATGTTAAAATACCATATGGGAAAAGATATAAAATAAAATCAAATAAATAGTTTATTAGCCTTACTAATATCATAAAATTTATTCTGGTTAACGATAGACAAATAGGAGGTTCCAATGATCTATCTAAAAAAGTAGGAACCTGAATAAAACTATTTAGATATACATATATTTTTTTTTTATAAACGGTTTGTTTAACGCAGCGGTATAAAAATATTGCAAGCATTTAAAATTTATACAATAATAGTCGTTGCATTACTTATCTCTAACATCAGGTAGCGGTTTCGGTTTTTGGGTACGGATAATTTTATTATTCAAAGGACTAATCACAGGGTTGTTATAATTGGGATAATTCGAATAAAGTGCGGTCTAGCAGATTGAGACGTTGCGGTAAAAAAATGGCATATGCTTTTATTTTTTGTGGTAGTATTTTTTGTTAATATTTACTTTATAATTTTGTGAATTGGTTTTTTTAGTGAGGATATTATTAAAAGCTATTGCTAAAGCTATTGTTGGTTTAATAGTTTGATGATATTAATATAAGATACTGGTATTATATTTTAATCCGATCAAAAGGCTTTTTAGAGCAATGCACTCGAGATAAAAACGAGTATTGGTAGATTTATGAAAAAAAAACGTATTGCTTTTATTACCTTAGTTAACTAAAACCTCTTTAAACACAATTTCACACTAAATCCCTTAATAATATGTGTGTAACTTACTAAACCAGTCAAACAGTTTAAATATTCCCAAGGTTCACGTAAACAGCTCAAAAAGCTATAAAATTAAAATCCGAAACAATAAAACTTGGTAATCCTGCGTTTTTTCGTGTACAAATAATGTCGGTTGCATGCGACAAGTCGGTGCGACAAAGACGTCGTGCGCGAGTCGTGTCGACCACCCACTGGAGACAGCCCGCGGATATTGTAGTCAGTTGATTTTGAAGTGGCGTTTGACACTTTCTTTTTGTAAGTAATAATATTTTTTTGTGAGATAATAAAATGTTTTCATTTTAATTGCATTTTTTTATATGTACATTCAAATATAACTATTATTATTTGGTTTATTTATCCTACGCCGAAAGTTATATTAAATTTAACTGGTCTTTGGATCAGTAATGGCTATATATTAATGAAATATAAAAACTACTTAATTGTTACCGCACTGTTGTACAATTTTAAGCATTTATAAAGTTGAATTGGACAATTCAACGCAAACACATTATGGTTGGTACTTTGGTGCACCCAACGAAATCTACGTCGGCGTCGCATACCTTATCTGTTATCTCATTTTTTAAAGATAAAACTATTCTAGCTTCCTTAAAGCATTAATCCAAACTAATCTCTATAATCATTCAGATAAAGTGGGTAATCCACTGAACTTTACAGTTTGACATATGACGTATACTAAACTAGTGGTTGGAAGCGAAACTTTGTGTCGACTATCGATAAATCCAATAAAATAAATCAACTTCATACCGAGTGACAGTAACCAGTAAATAAAAATAATTTGATTTCATGTCGCGATTCAGTCGATATCGATAAAAATCTGTAATTAATTTACATACTCTATCCAATTCGATTGTTTAATTCTGTTAAGATTAGACCAATTTATGTGAATCGATTAGGTTATTCGAATCTGATTTTAATCGATTAGGAATGTTCGTTTCTTTGAGTCCAATAAGTAGATTGGTTGGTCATATAAATATTTATAAGAAATGTAGGAACTTTGGGTAAAGGTTTCAAGTTTTATTAAGGAAATGAGTTAATGACAATTACGGAATAGATTTCTCGGAAAACGGTTACCGTTCGTACTTAAATATTAACTCGATTAATTTATTTAAGATACTCAAAACGGGAAATGAAATCACCGGGAGCAAGAAATACATTATGTCACTTATTTCAATAAATAGTTTTTAATTAAAATGAAATTAAATTATCATATCATTGCTGTAATGTATAAAGTAAATAGCGGCTATAAGATATTCTCTGTTATTTATGACCTTACATAAATAATATTTTATGTAAGACTAGCTACTTCCACGCGGTTTCACATGCTCTGCTCAGCTCCTATTGGTCGTAGCGTGATGTTTTATTAGCCTATAGCTATCCTCGATAAATGCGCTATCCAACACAAAAATAATTATCCAAATCAGACTTGTAGTTCCTGAGATTAGCGCGTTCAAACAAACAAACAAACAAAAAAACAAACTCTTCCGCTTTATATAATAGTATAAGATAAGATAATAAAGTATTCAAGATAATTATTTAGGAGGCCATATTGTACAAAGAATATCTAGTTTGCACCTTTTAACTATGCTATTTTTCATGTGATAGGTATATAGTAGGTGAGCTAGACCTAGTTTCAGATTCAGACCTACTATTAGGTACTCAGAATTTTTTAATAATACCTCTACTAACCCTAGACCTCTTTGACAATAAAGCAGCTAAAAGTAATCCATTAAAATATATACCTGTGATCGACAACCATAA